TGGGTTCAGCGGCGGCTCCGGTAGGAGCAAAGAGACTTCTTTGGCAGGCAGAAAAAGGCGTGTGGAAAAAAAAAAAATTCCGAAATTCTTATCCCTGGTACTCGCGGGGCTGGGCAAGTAGGTAAGTTCAGGAAGAAACAATGCACGGAGCAGTTTCTGGATGTGTCACAAATTAAGAGAGGTCAATGATGTCCCTGTTGTCTGAGGCCAGCAAAAGAACAGTCTGTTGAGCATGCTCCAAGCTTTCTCGTGGCACTGGAAACACTTCGTCTCACAATTTGGATGAGGCAACTCCTGAAAAGGTTTGCCTGTGTCAGCATGTGCTGCCGTGATCCAGATCATGGGTACATAAGCCAAGTTTCCTGTCACTGCTGCTGATTCTGCATGATGAGCACAGGCTACGCGAGACATGTTCAGCAGAAATATAGGGTGTCAGGCTGTGATTGAGCAACGGCATCAGCTTCCCAGGCCCAGGCAGAAATTTGGGATAGAAATATTTATTTCTAGCTGAAATTTCGGCGGTCAGCAGCTGCCGAGTGCAGCCCGAGTCCGCCGAACTTCGCAAGCTGCGAGGCCTGTCGTGCAGCAGTTGGCGGGTGATCGCCGTTCTGCATTAAGCAGTCCGCAGCGAAATGGGCGGTGAGTGCGGGCGGCACATTGCGCAACAGGTAATTGGCTCGGGGGCCAGCGTAGTAGTGCTGCAGTAGCCATGCAGCGTGCAGATCTGGGATTTCGGGGATGCGGGTTAGGAGGCGTTCGTGCTCTGCCCTTTTTTTGGCAAGGATGCCGTGGACATACTCGTCAATACTTCAGTGGACGAACCGAAGCATTCTCAAGCTGTTGACCTGTATTTTGAAGTTGCCGAGCACGGTTTAGTTTAGCAGCCGCAGTGCCTTTCGAGCCAGCAAGCGATGCTATCGCGCTCTTCAGCCGGGCTGTGGTATTCACAGGTCGACTGCTGTAGTGACCATGCCTGCGTTCGCATGCTCGCGCTGAGCCTCGTGGCGCGACTCGTCAAATGAGTGTGGGTCCGAGTGGCTCGGAAAACCGTGGGCGCAGCAAACCATGTAAACAGGACCTTGGAGCATCTCGGAGCTCAGGCACCCTGGCAGACGGAAAAAAGGTGCGAGGGGAGAAATGAAAGTGCAACAACAAAGGCTGGATCATCCGGTTCAGGTTACGGCACCGGGCGTGCGTGCGGAAGATGGGCGCCGCCTCGACCAAATCATAAATGGCGTCATGTCGAATGGTACCGCCCTGCGCTGCGATGCCACGCTGGTCACCCCGAATGCGCGCCCACAGCAACTCAGCGTTGCACCGCTGACCCCGATGCATGTTTGGTGCGCAGGCACCGCCTGTGCAAAAACTTGTCGTGCTTGGCAGCCTTTGTTCCAAGCTTTTGCTTTGCGTTGTTGTGCGTCCGAGCATGGGGAATGCTTCACGTCGCGGTGCCGCAGGCGGTTGCGAGCACGGCAGTAGGCCAAGCTCGGCCCCAGCTGTCGCATGTTGACATACACGAAAAAGTTGAAAAATACCCAGCGGGCCCAACATTGGAACGCCTCTTCGACACGGCGGTTGCCGAGTCCGAGAGCGTTTCGATCCAAAGCCACCACGCTACTGCAGCTTCGCCGCCAAGTGCTCATTGTCCGTCCCAATGCATCGGAGCTCGCCAACTCGCCATCGACCCTTCAGTGTTCCAAATTTGCCTCTTCGTCGCTTGCGGTCTTGTTGCAGTGGTTGTTTTGGGGCGGCTCACAATTTCCTGTTGACGCAGTGTTGGTGTCGCCACTCATTTCTGCCGGTGCGCCCAGTCATCGCAGGCACGGCCTGGGCTGAGGACCGCTGAATGTTCGCCGCTTCCCATCGGTGGCGACTTGTTGTCCTTTCTCTGGAGGTTGGTGGTCACTGACGTGCCGAAGCAGCCACCTTCATCCAGTTGCTTGCGTGGGCAGGGGCACGAAACAGAACCCCTTTGCAACGTGCAGGCTGTGTGGTATCTGTGGTGCCGCGTTTGGACGGTGGTCTGCAGGGTGCCTTGCTGCCGCAGCCTGGCGCTCCTTCGCTTGCCGTCCTTTCCCTTCTCCGATGCGATTCGCCTCTCGCGCTGACTCGTCTGAGGTGCCGCCACTCGCTTTTTGGTAGTCTACTGGGGACCGTGCTCGGATGCTGGCGCAACTTAGAGCAGCCGGATCTGTGATCACCAAGTGACGACCCGCCCTGTGCAGTTGCAGCTGTGCAGGGCGGGTGGGGTAGGAGGCGGAGGCGGCGCAGCACTACTGCGAGTGCTGGTGCTACATCACCGCCGACAACGACAATGACGACGAAACTGCTACTCTGTTCGCGGCTACGTCCCAGATAGTGAAAGTGATAGTGATAGTCATAGTGAAAGTGATGATCAAGTAATGTTTGGGATGCTATTATGCGGCTAGTATGCCAAAGCTGCTACTGCTTGTGTTGCCACTTCTGCTATTACCACCACCACAACCAGGACTACCACCACTTCCACCACGACGACGGCAACTCGTTCTTTGCGACCACTGCCTACTTCTCCGACGACCACTGAAGATATAGTTTACAGCTGGAAAAAATAACTGTTACTACTGCCGCTGCTGCTGGTGCTGTACTGCTACTATTCGTACTACTTACCACTCCGCGACTACTGCTACCCTGTCATTCGTATCGGTACTACTGCTATGATTTCTTTCGCCACCAGAGGACCACCACCACCTCTCGTGGCGCACTGCCTGGACCGCCGGAGTCTGCTGCTCGGGGATGCCCGGGACAGGGAAGACGCACCTGTCCCGGGCATTGTGGAGAGGCTGGAGGAGCTCGGGGATCGGATGGCGCTCATCAGCATGCAAGATATTCAGGGCCACGCAGTACCACTATCATTACCAGTGCCAACACCATTGTCACTGCCCATTGCCGCGACTAGTATGAGCGATTTATAAAGACAGGAGCAGGAGCGCGAGCGAGGAGGAGGAGGAGGAGGAGGAGGAGGAGCGGGAGGAGGAGCAGGAGGAAGAGGAGGAGGAGGTGGTGGTGGTGGTGGCGGTGGTGAGGGAGGAGGAGGATGGGAGGACGAGGAGCCTTGGCAGTAGTAACGGCAGTGGTAGTCGTAGTGGTAGCGGTAGTCGACGGCATGGCAGTGTAGGGGTAGTGGCAATAGCAGTGGCAGTGGTAGTGGGAGTGGTCGTGGGGCGCTACAGATAATGGGAGTGGTAGTAGGGATGGCAGTGGAAAGGTTAGTGTTAGTGCAAGTGCGAGTGGTCATAAGTGGTGGTGGTAGTGGTTTTTCAACTCTTCATGTGTCGCGGCTGCTTTCGGCTGCAACACCGTGGCGGGCAAGACTGGCCAAAAAAAGATCGGTCCAGCATAGCAGCATAACAGCAACCACTTTAGCCGGTCTGACACGTGAGGTTTGCATTCAACATCTCGTCCACAGAAACAGATTGCGGTAGGTGTTGGCAGGAGGTATCTTGCAAAAACCCGGTTATGTAAACCGATAACGACTATCGCCTAGAGAACGCCTCCTGCTTGCAATGACGCATCGCTGCATCATTGGTTTGGGCGGCTCATTGTCAACAGACTTTCCTTTTTTCAGGGCCCACGTTGGCCGTGCGTTTGTTGAGCATGTCGCAGAAGCTCATGGTTTTGGCCCGTGGCGACCGACCAGTGCAGCTTTGGCCGATTTTGCAGAGCACGGAAGTGGCATCGTTTTGTGCAGATTGTGGCATGATTCGGCATCGGGGACGTCATCAGCACCGATGGCTGCCAAACAGTGCCTGAAGTATGTCGGGGTTCGTTCTTCCGACCATTTTGTGATTGCTCACGCCGAATCACGAAGATCGTGTGGGAAGTTTGCCGTCACGGAAGGAATTCGAAAAGCACCGGCATGGGCGAAGCCAGTCCTGGAATCCGTGTGTCCTCAATTCCGCCCAGGTCAAAAATCCGTGGAACAGCCGTTGCGCATCGAGTTGGGCGTTGGAGCCCCGAGCAGAACAAACCTCATGCCACACATGGACCGCTTTAGCGAGTCCAGGATGACAGCCCGAGAGGCGAACGCCATCTTGCAATCCGCCTTCCCAGCGGCTTTTGAATGGCTCTTGAAGAGATGGTTTGGGCCGGATGCAGTCACTGCAGGAGCCGTGATGCGGCGACGGCTTCCGCAAGATATCAGGAGGAAGGAATTGGAACGAGAAGCTCAGCAAATGCAGCGTAACCTGGAGTAGTAGCTTAGCAACATCCGACATTCCCGTGAACATCGCCTGGGACACAAAAAGCAGTGCTTGGCTGTCCCTTGGCCTCTGCCATCGTGGAAGTGAGCTGTTTGAACTTGCATTTCCGTTGCCGCTGGCTCAGGGTCATCATGGGCTTCCATTATTTTATTCATGAATATATTCAAGATGTCGACGTTTGTAGAGCAAACAAACCAGAGAGCAGAGCAATTGCGTTAGCACGGCCTGGCACCCCAGACGTCCATCGCCACATCTTTTTTTGGGTTTCAAACCTCGTTCCTCCTGCTTCCCTGTGTCCATGGCTCCAAAGGCTGGGACCTGAGTTTGGGAAAATGTAAGCATGCATCGGAGCTGGCGATTATTCGTCCTATATATGCTGGACGACGACGGCATCCCAGGCTGGAATGATCTTCAACACCGCTCTTCTTCTTTAGACGACAAAGTGACGGAAAAAATTTACGGCCTTGTACCATGCTGTATACAATCTCCTGCTATATAAACAGATGCCAATAGCATCGCGTTTGCCACGTAGACGGTAGCCATGGTGACAGCCGACAGTGGTGATGGCTCTGCTCGCGCGGCCAACTTCGGACCGTTTCAAGGTCACCACGGTTTTAAAGCTAGGGGTCTAGTCCGAGAGCGTGAAGCTGCTGCATGAAGTACGGTTCAGTCCTGTAGACTGACTTGCCTTTTTGCTGTCGTCAGCCTGTTACGAGGACACATGTCCCAGAAAGAGTTTGATGAGCTTGGGTATCCAAAGATTCCGGACCATTGGACCAAAGAGTGGATGCTGAGACAAATCGAGCTGGAAAAGGTTGACCCACGGGTCAATCCTAATCTGCTGCTTGATGAGACGGACCAAGAATTCTGGGACAACGCTTCTCGCAAACCATACGCGAAGGCTATTCTTAGATCCGAGCAGCACTGGCTCCAACGGAGAAAGCTCTGGCTGCGCCAATACGGGCAAGTTGCGCTTGCCAACATGATGCGCGAAGAGCTAGCTGCAGAACTGGAAACATGCCCTCCCAGCGTAAAGCGGCAGGTTATGCCCATCTTGATTCTCGAGCTGCATTCATTCATGTCATGATGCGTCATGTGTCCTTTCCGTTTTGGCAATGAGAAGCAGGCTTCTGTGTGTGTTTGACCAGGAAGTACAAGATCACAGAAATCGCGTTGACGAACAGTCTAAACCTTGCTCGAGCGCAGCAGCTTCCGCTAAGCGGAATCCTCCAACGACCCGACCAGGTCCCCTCCTGAGATTCGGGCTGTGTGATGTGATGGTAAGCCATGTCAAGCACGGATGTGGCGTAAGTTGGCTGAGCCGCACGAGGTGCACCAGTTGCAATCCCTCCGATTGAAGCTCGAAGACGGCGGCCCGCAAGTGGCTGAGCAGCTTTTGGAGGAGTACAACGCGCCCGTGGCGTCAAGTGGCACCTTTTTGATGGTCGAGAGTAGTTGAAGTCAGTGTCAAGTACTTATTTGGTCCTGTGACAGGCACGTGCCACGGACCGAATACGCACCAACGCCAGCATCAAGCAAGAGGAGGAAAGATCAACACCCGTGGTCTTGGATTCCGACACCATGGCGAAGCTCATGAACCAAGCGCAGAAGCTCCGGAAAGATGGGTATATCGAATGGCACAAAGGTGCCAGGGTTCGAAGTCTCGTAGTTTTGCCGGTCGCACGGAGCGTTGTGGCACTGTGGTGCTTAAGGTGCCGTCGAGGAGGCTTTCCGTAGTTGGTGTGAAGCAGAAGCTCACCTATACCGCAAACGACTGCCGGAGGGTGATGCAGGACGTCGATTAGAAAGTTGCCCTGGCATTGTGTGTCGAGTGTTGGCTTGAGATTGGGCTTGTCGCCTGCCAGGAAATGCAATGGTGAGCGATCTGCATTGCATTCTGCTGAAAAACATTGCGCAGGCTGGTCGCTCTGTCGCTATTATGGAAGAAGGGAGTTTTAAACGGTGTGGCCTGTGCCAGGCAGCTATCAAGCTTGGGCATTGGTCAGATGCGTTGCGAGCGTCAGACGATGCCCTTGCGATAGACGACGAGGCCTTCCTGTGAGCTGCCGCTTCCCAATTTTTTTTCTGTCTCTGCACCGGATTCGGTGCATCTTAGCAGGATCCAAAAGCATGGTTTCGACGTGCCTGTGCGTTGGAAGGCCTAGGACACCGAACGTGATTCTCAAGATGTGCACAGCCTGAGCAGCCTGAGATGTTGCGCTGTGAAGGGAGGCTGGCAACATGTCAAGGACGATATCCGGAGGCAAAGGAGGCCCTGGAGCACATCGAGGCACTTGCAGTTGGACGTCCTGATCGTGCTCGCTTGGTTCGAGATGTCGGGACCCGCCGCAACTGGGACTGAGCTGGTTTTCATTTTGAACTGACATGGTTTGACTTTTCCTGTCTGTCGATAGCACGACACGCCCATTGATTTGCCAAGTACAGACACAGAGAGACCGCATCCATCGGAAACCCAAAACACTGTAGTTACTCTCCCTAAAGCTAAAGCAACATATATGATGAGCTTGTTGCCGCCTGTTTTCGACTGCCTCGACATCTCGGGACGGTGCTTCTGCCGCTAAAGTGGACTGCCGTGTTTGCTAGGCGAGCAGATAGATTCCTTGACGGCGAAGCACACGCAGACGGAGCGTCTCGCGATGTGCAGAGCCCTGAAACAGCGGGTGTTCGCAGAGGAGAGCGTGTTCATCAGAAGGTGCGAATCATTTCTAGAAGAAGATGGGTGCCGCAGGACACAGTTCCGTCCTTGGAGATGAATGGCAGCCTGGACCACGTGCTGGACCAGGCTTGCAACAGTTGGCAAGCAGTGTTTGTTGGTGTGTGTGTGTGTGCACGTTTCCTGAGGCATCGGACGAAGATGATAAAGAACTGCAGCAGCTCGAGGACGCGAAAGATCAAACACGAAATAGCCTTACGTTGGGGCAGTCTCGAGACAAATGCGGAGCACCAGCCGTCTTGCACCGACAGAGCCAGCATGTTCTTGCCGCTGTCGAACATGATAACTTTTGCATTGGCTGCCCTGCAATGAAAGCGACTTATCAACGCAACGCACATCCTGATCGGGTATAGGGACCTTTTGCAGGCCTGAGTCTGTCGCACTTGTGTGACTAGCAAGCTCTTCACAGAATAGGCTTGCAGCCCGCATGTGCTTCACACCTTTTCACTGGTTTCTGCCATTGCACTGTAAACAGCTGCGCAAGCTTCAGTTTGCCACCCACCGGGTGCAGCAAGGCTTAGCGGCTGAATTTGTGACCTTCCACCTGTTTGGGCTTGAGTTTTCTGTACCGAGGAAGTTGAGCTTTTTTGGGCCAGGGATCTCAGCCACAAGGCTGTGCAATATTTGTGCGAGAACCCTCAACAACACACGCAACTGTGAGACCTCTCCTCGTCCCAAGTGCGCAGTTGCAGAAGGAAGAGCTGTTGCAACTGCAAATGGTCACGGCCTCAGCGCGAATTCGGCCAGCATTTGCCGGTGTTGGTGTGAAACTGCGGATGTCATGTGCTGCTCGCACGAGGAAGATGCGGCGCTGAATGGCACTTCCCGCGCAGTCTCGAGTGCTGCTCCCGCGGTGACGAAATGCTTCGCCGTCGGAGATCGCCCCTTGGCAACGTTCCTGCGTGTCGGACGGTGTAAGATTTTCCACGTTGTTTGCACGTTGCATACTGTCGTCCCGCACGGTGCCGGGCGAGGCGTGCAAGCACGGGAGATGCTGGCAGACGTAGATGCTGGACAATGGGGCACGGTGGTCGAGGTGGACAGTGATGGTGACATCAAGGCACCACTCCTTGCGGAAGCGTGTAGTCGGCCAGTCACATGCGATGCGGGAATCGATTGTGGGATCAGACGCTTTGCCAGGGAAAGTTTGATCGTACCGAACTCTTGTCGCAGGTGCTTTTCGACGGACAAGACGAGGCTGCTCGATGCCTTCATGTTTCTCTCGTGTTGTAGCTTCCAGCTGCCCAGGCTCAGCTGATCTTCAGTGTGGACTTCAGCAGCCTGCTGACGGAAAGCGGGGCCAGCGACGGCGCGAAGTCCTCCTTGGGGAGTCGCGCAAGGCCTGGGGATTTCTGCCTGACTCATGACGGAGCATCCGAGTCCCGGCCCAGGTCCCGTTCAATTCATTATTAGTATTGGGGTTTAGGGTTTAGGGCACTTTAGAGAGACCTCGTTCAAAAAGGGTTTTGCGTTTAGGAACTATGGTCTCTGTGGCAGATGAACTCCGAGCGTTCTGCCCAGCTAAGGACCTGCTGGATGCCTTGCTTTCCGCTTACCAAGAGCCTGGATTCCAGCAGCAAGTCGCCAAGCTTGCACGAGACGTGCGCTGGGATGTGGAAAGCTTCAGGCGGCACCTGCCCAAGGCAAGATGCTTGCCTTAACCCTTCTCAAAACACCCCCCCTCAACCTTAATGCATGTCCAAGAGTGGGTCTCGAAGAAGAACCTCGCCTGGCATGCCCGAGACTGAGCGGCAAAAAGTAATAATGACTGGATGCAGGTGGCGCTCGGCCCACAGAAGGACGCGCTGCTCCGCTTCGGCTTCGAGGCCTCACTGGAGGGTGCCGGAGTGGCGCAGCGGGCGATAGAGACCGCGGAGCCCTCGGAGCCTCGTAGCGCTAAAACACGGTCTCTTAATGGAGCGGCTCAAACTTGCCCATTTAAGGCGAAGGCACAGGCTTCCACAAGGCAGCGTGTGGGATTGCAGAAGCGATCCGACGATGTGACGAGGCGTGGAGATCGGATAGGTCGATGATGAGTCGAAGCAATAAGTCCAGCGCTTGAGTGCCTGTTCTGCTTGTCTTGGAAGGACGCTTTTCGGTGAGATGTACAGTGTCGCATTCCCGAGCTCCTATGTGCGAAGCAGCCAGTCGGCCGATGTGCAGTCCGCCGTAGGCTGAGAAGCGCTTTTGCCTGCCCGGAAAAAGCGTAGGCCATTCGAGGAGGGTAATAGTGGCGTCAGCGATGCATGGCGTGCGTGCCTCCTCGCCACCACCCCCACGTCGGTACTGAGTGCAGGTGGGCCATTCCTGCCATTTCCCAACAGCCAGCGAGGCATTTCATGTCGCCATGGGCTAAGCACAAGCGCAGAAGCTTGAAATGCCCATCTGTGGCCATGCGACATCCACCATGACCAGGTGGTGGAAGCAGTGGAGGTGAAGCATCTTTTCAATGCTTGGGACGTGTTAGTTGAGTGCGCCGATGACGGTCATGCTCTCGCGGTGTGTGGGCTTAGCGACCTCGGATTGAAGAGACCCGAAGAGGTATGCTGATGGTGGAGATGCTTCGGTCCCTACAGCGTCTGTTTCTCTGTCTTCCTTACGCACTCGTCAAGAGGGCAAGCCGTGTTGCCCCTCGAAATGTCATGCAGTCGGCCCCGGAGGCGCTCCCAAAGCTTTATGTTCCTTCCTTAAGAGGACATTTTGTTCGTTGCAGTGTGAAGTGCAGCTAGCTCGACAGGTCCACCCTGCGGTTGGCAAAGAATCTGGCGAATCTCTTGCTCAACGGATGTGCTGTGGGACCGACATGTCCCTGGGCTTCGAGACAGAGGGCGTGTCGGTTCGGTTCTGTGAGAATGATTCGACGGAGAGCTGAGGCCATGCTTCACAAGCTTCCGGGATCGACGGACACCCTACCATCCATTGTAGCCGACGTGCATTCCGCTGGGTTGTCCGCACTTCCGGCTGCGGTCCTTGCCCGCATCCTCCTCAGCTGCGATCTAACGGGTCTCTGCTGCTTGGCAGCCGCAGCTTCGTTGTTTTGCTTGGGTTCTTCGGATGTCGGGGAAGCGATGCCGCTGCCCTCTGAAAAGGGTCCAGATCGCTGGCTCTCCTTTGCCAGGGCATCTTTGCTCTGGGCCGACTTGTTGGCATCCTTGCACCTTGGTTCTGCCAAAGTAGCACAAAGGTTCCAGCAGCTTGCCCGGCAAGCACGGGTAGTTCCGAGTGCGTGGATCACAGGCAGCGGCCAAGCCACAGCAGCCTCTTTCTCAGCCTACATGTCAGCCACGATTACAGCGGAGGCATCGTGTGCGGCAATGTGCCCCGATGCTGCTGGGCTCATGGCCACAGGCCACGAACACGGCATCCGCTTGTGGGGAATGCCGGAGATGTCCAAGCTCGGCGTCATCAGAACGAGAAGCCCCGTAGTGGCCCTTGATCTGGGAAGGGCAGGAGACTTCCTGGCTGCCATACAGAATGGGAGCCCGGTCTTGCTGCTCTGCATCTGGGACCTGACGTCGGAGATCGCTGGCCCAGGGCTTTCACCGCCACTTTGGTCCATGAACGTGTCCTCGACTGCCCCCTTGAGTTTTGTTGGACGGTGTATACTTATACCGAGTACGACGAGTACGAGACCAGGGCTTGAAATGCTGGATGCCTCTGATGGCGAGCGCATCCAGTTCATCGACCTGCCCAGTTGCCCTCAAGCCGCATGTCGCTGTATAGAGCCGCAGGAATGGTGGTGCGAGGCTCCGTCTTCGCGCGCTGCCACAACATGCATGCTTCTGGCCGTGGGTTGCACGGTCCTTGCGATTTCCGAGCACAGTGCTTCCACACATGTACAGGGAAGCGACATCCTTGGATTTGTTGAGCCGGAGCAGGGATGCGCCCAACTTGTGTCCTTGGGTGCTTCTAGTACCGAAGTCGCCGCAGCTACCGCGGACTGTCGGGTGCTACTTTGGAAGTTGGTCGACCGAACATTGCTGGCCATTTTCCCAGCATTTACTGCCCTTGATTTCGAGAACTTGTCCTGGTCGGTTGGGCAAGCAGAGATGGCATTCCCCCCGCAGCTGACGCAAATGGTGGTTTTAGAGGAGGTGCTTGTCCAACCCTCAGCTTTGACGAGGCAGAGCCCCGCTCACATCGCAACAGCCCGGGATGGCCTTCCGGCCCCGAGGTTGTTGCTTGTAATCTGGGGCAGCCAGGTGACGCTTCTGCAGGCCAGCGGCAGCACGGCATGTTTCTTGTTTTGCGGTGATGCGCTGGTTAAGCCCATGGATGTCGCGATAGGCTGTGTCCTGACAGCTTGGCATACATCAACGGGGACGAGGTTGTTGGCAGCTGAGCACGAGACAAAAATCGAGCGGGGCCCGTTTCCCTGGTTTGCGCCTCCAAAAGGCCACATCCCTGGCACCTTGCCGGGCCGCTGGAGGTGTCTGGCGCGTAAGTCCTGGGTGCTGTTCCGGCTGCTTGCCCACAGGCCTCCGCCTCCCGCCACAGTTCGTCCATCCCGGTCTTTCTTCCAGGCAGACTCGCGGGGCGCTCAGAAATTCGGCAGCGCCTTCTGACCTCCCGAATCGATGGTCGAATTTGAAGGAGCTGAGCCTTTGAATCCTCCTGGATTTCCCAGTGCTCAAGCTGACGTAGATTCGTCAGTTGGCCATGGCATGTCTTCCTCGATTTGGCGGATCCTTCATGATGTGCTGCAAGTCTCATGGGCCCCTGGCTGGCCTTGTCCTTGGCCTTGGATCTGGTGACCTGCTTTTTGCACTCGCCGGAGGCCCCGACAGCCATGAGAAGCATGGAGCAGGGCCCCTGGTGTTGAATCCTTGTGGCAAACCCCACAGCCCAGATCCCACGGAGCAACGCCACGATCTTGGCCTTCGGTGACTCTTTGACGGCCGCTGGAGCCGGCAGCATTCCTTACGGAGTCTTCTTGGCCGAGATCCTGGGAGTTCGGGCCAGGGCCCGAGGCCGAAGCCAAGATAAAGCCGGGATGTTTCGGGATGTGTGCGATAGGTGGAGGTCCTGGGCGTCTGGGGCGAGACGTCCGAGCATCGGGGCCTGTTAGGGCAGCTTAGGGCCCCTCTTTTCATAGTCTGTGAAAAGCCGTTAAACCTGACGGAAGTGAGCAGCAGCACTTTGGAATCGTGCGCAGATCCCAGGAGGATGCGACAGCGTATTGTGAGCTTTCACGGTGCGAGGGCCCCAAGTGACCTGCCTGACGTGGTTCTGCTGCTGGGTGGCACAAACGACCTCAGCCAGGCGGGGTTTGCAAGCGCGGTGCAAGTCGTTCTATCTCTTTGGTGCGCAAACGCAGGTGCCCGTGGCAGCCACGATTTCAACCCTGAAGGCTTGCATCTCACAGGGTTCTGCCCCGAAGCGCCGCAGTGTTGAGATCTGCTTGCAGGCCATGCACGAGCTTGCTGCCTCCTGGGGCGCTGTCGTCGGGGTGCTTGCTTTGCCGCGTTTCGTCAACCCCAAGGTCCCTGATGGCTTGGCCTCTGAGCTTCGCTTTCTGATCGTGCTGGCAGGTGGGGTCGGCTAGAAAGCTCTTTGCGGTGAACCATGCCCTGGCCGAGCTTGAGCAAAACTACCGTTGCCTGCCAAGCTTCTGGGGTAGAGCCTGGCGAGGTAGGGCTTTGCCTTTTTGTGGGGCCCTGACCAACATAGTTCAGGCTTCCCTTCCTTCTTCGTGAACTTATCCGAAGTCTCGTCCAGGCCGACTGCTTGGGTGAGTTGCGCTCTGCAAGGATCCTCGGTTCGGTTGCCGAGGCACCTGTACGACGGTCTGCACTTCACATCGGATGGGTACCTGATCATGGCAGAGATGATTGCCCAGAAAGTCTGGCACTGGCTGTAGAGCAAAACAGACAGAGAGAGAGAGTAGAGGGCAAAAAGGCTCGCCAGCGTTTTTGAAGCAGTGAAACCCCGGAGTATATCATAACTTGACACATGCAGGGCCGCATTCTGCAAGGTCGGGCAGATGGCCGCCGATCCGAGCTTGAGGCACAGCAGCCAGAGAAGCTTCAAGCTTGAAGTGTGGTGGAGGCATGATGTGCTCAGCATGTTTGGTTTTGGTGCCTGACTTGGCTTCAATCAGCTCTGCGGCCATGGCCTAGTGGCACGGTGCGCCCACCAAAACGGCAGGCACCAAGTCGAAGTGGAAGTGGGGGATTTCTGGGGGGAAAGGATGTCTCCAAGGATTTCTCAAAGATGTGTTTTTGAGGCGCAGCCAGCAAGGCTTCTGGCACCATGTCCGCGCCCGACCAGCTTCAGGAAGAGGCTCCGGGAGTTCATGAAGCATTTCACAGGGCTGAATGGGGCTGTGATGGCGCCAGGTATGGCAGGATCGTGAGCCACTGGGCTGCTTTGAAGTGCAAGGAGGGCATAAAGAAGCCCATTGAGATAGGCTTCCTGTAGTCTGCTGTTGCCCATGGCGTTCCGATTCTAAAATATTCCTGGAGGGCGTAGCCAGCACCGCTACTGGCACGGACGTGCATTGATAAGTCTTTTTTGGACCTGCTTGTGCAGTTCGGTCTCGATCGCTCGTTAGCATCTCTTGTTCTGGGCAGTGCATCTGTGACGACTTGCTTACACATGTCATTCAGTGCCGGGCAGCTGTGATGACTTGCGGTGCATGCATCTTTCCGTGCGGTGCTACTGTGTAGACATTCAAGCATGTCGTTCTCTTGGTAGCACATGTCTTTCAGTGCAGTGCCATGGTAACAACCTGCCAACACTTGTCCATTTTGTGGTGATGGCTCGCGTTGTTTTGTCATTCGGTGCAGTGCAGCTGTGAAGGCTTCGATACACATGTCATCCAGGGCGGTGCAGCTGTGACAACTTGCAAACACCTACACACTTTTATCACGCTAAGCAGTGCTGCTTGATCTGCCAGGTTCTTCAGTTTAGTCCAGGTCTTGTGACTTGCTTTCACATCTTGTCCTAAAAAAACTTTTTGTGAACATTGTGCCCAGTTTCGCTTTCCGAGCGTCCATCTTGTCGTATTCCGGCCGAAACCATTTGTACTGGCAGGCGCAATTGAGGTTAAACATGTTCTCCACAGCGCCGTGCCAAAGAATCCCACGCCCATTTCTCCACAGCGCTGGCTGCGGACATGAATACCCCGAGCTCCGGGTTTAAGTGCGGCAACAGGCAACGCTCTCAGGGTGGAGTAACAATAGTTGCTTGAACATATGCGGCTCCCTGCCAGACCTGGTCTCTGCCTACGACTGGCAACATGCATCGTGGCGCTGTGCCACAGTTGTTTTGATGAATGTTGCCTGAGGATCAAGTTTGATCAAATGCCGCAGCTGCTCAAGCTGCGCAAGGGTGAGTTTCAGCAGCTCGGTCCGCAGAGCGTGCTGATGAGCGTGACAGAGTCTATAGCTACAGGTTGGACGAGCGTTGCAGCTGCTGCTCTTGTGGAGTAGTGTCACGCCGTAGGAACAGAGGCACAGGCAACATGACTCCGAGTGTTCTGGGGCAGTGTACCCGCGACTGTAAAGCTTGATCAAAGCTTGATTTTATGTGAGGATTGATTCAATAAATTCAGTGGAGGACTTCCGAGTGTCGTTGGAGCGAGCGTTGTTGCATCTGCTTCCAGTGCTTGCAGAGAGCGACACCTGTGCGAAGGACACCAAGGGTAACAACGGCGAGAGGGGCATCCTCATTGTTACCAACCTGAGGCATAACAAAGGGATGTTTTGCTGACAGTTTCGGGAAAAAACATTCGGGCTTCACGGTCATTGCAGATTGTCTGCAGGTTAATATGGACCTCAGCAAAGTACGCGAGGACCAACTTGAGTGGCTTGCATGAAAAGACTGCTTGGGAGTCGAATTGCGCATCGCTTCTCATTCTGTAGTCTTGGCAGTGCTGCCTGCATGCCTGAACCCGCCATGCTGCTCTTCCAGGTATTGGCTTTAACTGTGTGTCGAGTGTGAACATTCGCACCGCGACTGGGATGATTGAATCAGGCACATGATCGACTCAATTACTTGGGATCGGTGAACTCATGTGAACTGCAGCGGGGTCCCAAACATCTCTAACTCTCAAGGTGAACTCCAAGCTTCGGGGCAACAGCCAGGCTTTGTATGTGCCCTGCTCAGAATGTGGGGATGTGGCCATGCCGACTTCTTCATGCTGCTTTGCGGTTTTGCAAAGCGGAGGTCATGACGCGATTCAATTCCACTCGGTTCGAGTTCATCTTCACATCCCTCGCAGCTTGACCCAAACTCTGACTCCTTCTCGGCAAGTGAGTTATCTGTTCCTGGTTCACACTGGCAGCCACATCTTCCACAAAGCTTGATCCTTGAAGCCCGTGCGCAGAGACCGAACCGAGGTCAAGCACAGCCCACGCCTTTTCACCACGGTTCAGGCGATTGCCGAGCATGAGACGATTCGTGACAGAAGCGACATCCATATTGCAGGCTGTCTTCAAAAGCTATGAAACCACGAAGCTGTACAGAGCTGCTTGGCTTTTGGCATTTTCCGCTTTGCGTTTGATTGATAAGCAAAGAAGTGTCAGAGGGGGCGTGGAACCATTCTTCTTCACAGTAGCACTAGAATTCGTTTACGTTTCATCAGGACTTGAAGCTGCGTGGGGCCATCATCCGAGACAAAGAGCTCGTCATGTTGCCAAATGAGCAGGCTGGCGGCTGAGCTTCTGCTGAGCTTTGTCCACTGCAGCAGGGAATCGAGGGTTCCCATATCCTTTCGAGACTACCTGCATTTGGTTCAAGGTCTACGAGAAGATCAATGGTATCTGGAACTTGTCCTCGGATCAAGGCCTTGTCTTGTCGGCCACATGCAACTGTCGCTGTGTCCGCAAGATATTAGGCAACCTCGGCACCTTCATCATCACGAGTGCATCGTGTCTGAAGCAGCTCCGGCTTTCGAGGTGTTTAGAGTAATCGGATGTTCAGTCTCAGGTGCGCACGGTCTGGTTTGCCGTTTTGGCAGAGAACTTCAATGCCTGAGTCCTACCGGTACTATCCTGAGGGAAGGCGTACGCAGCATCTGGGCCAGCTCAGGTGTCCATCCCGTACCTGCAGATGAAGAGCATCAATGTCCGGATGCTTGGCATGCCTGAGCCTACACATGCAGAAGTGCCTTGCAGCCCTTTCCATCCCATTCTTTTCTGTTTGTTTCGTATCCGTGAATCTGGTTGTGCCCAGGAACTCCAAGTTTGGACAAGCGCTGGTCATAGAGACCACGGCCTCCAGCCGTTTGACTGAACACCTACTCGCAGTGCTCGGTTGTCAGTGCCCTATCATGTGCGGAGTCCTCGAGGTGGAGGTTACATCTTGGGTTTCCGCGCAGACCCGGTGGAGCACCTGGAGGAGGCATGGAGGGTTGTCGCGCGAGGATTCGCAGTCATTCGCAGAGGCAGAAGAGTTCTTGTGCATTTGGGTACTTCTGCTGTTCCAGGTGTATACCCAGATTCACAACCTATGGATGCTTGGCTCAACTAGAAGAGTCGATCACCTCGGCCTCCACATGCAAGCACGTGGACGCTCTGCAGCTGAGGAAGATCTTCAGTGTAACACCGATCTTTGGAGTTGAGTTCTCCGTGGAGGATAAGCAGTCGGATGGAAAAGAGAATTTCGTGCCCAGACAGGAGGCCTGGCTATGACTGCCCGAGCCGCAGCAGGGGTGAAGGGCACTGCGATGTCAGGACGACGTGCAAATTATGGAGGGTGATGATATCGAGCCTTGCTTGCTTTACCAGCCCGGGGCCTCGGGGAAGATAGATAGATAGATAGATAGATGTTTTTTTATCTATCTATATATATATATACATACATAAGGACGGAAGCTCGTGGGTACAAGGCCAGATGTTGACTGAGGCCCGACGGTGAAAAGGAGATCGACCGAGAGCCCATCTACAACAACGAGCTGCCTGCCTGACTTCTGGCATGGACGTCCTGTGAACCCGATACCACAAATGCTTCCTTGACGTGGCGAATCCTACGCAGTATCTCCACATCAACAGAACCTTCAACCCCACACCTCAAAAGATCCTGGCGGCGCAGACCCCCCCAAAGTGAAGGAGCGCCTCGCAGCCCAAGAGCACCCCAAAGACCACCCCGAGACACGCTCCAGGATTCAAAAAATTCAACATGTGCAAGGCACCAAGGCGGGAGCACGCTACCACCCCGGAGGAGCAGCCCGAAATGCTTGCGGCACGATGGCGGGAGAACTGTTGCGAGTTCGATATCCTGCTGAGCAGCTCACTGGTCTATGGTGGGAGCAGGGTTCTCGCCTCAAAATGTGCAATGTGGTGGGGGTGTAGTTCGCCGAGTCTGGAGGTGCCGAGGTCTTGGATTTTTGACACGTCGGCTTCCCGCACAAAACCTGATCTTAGTCCAAAGTGTACCGTGCAACGGCGGGAAATGCAGAAATGCCGAATGCGAGCTTACCGCGCTTTCGGGAACTATGGCACGCTAAACCCTAAGAGCTGAGTGCTAGCGCGCGAATGATGCGAATGGAAATCCTAGGCGCAGCACACCTGAATACCAAGAGTCCTAGCCAATAAAATACCAGGTGCCCTGACCCGAACTGCAAAACACACAGAGGCACACCCGAACAGATGCTTGAAGAGAGGCTTGGCCTCGCAGTGGAGCGGCTCAAGGCCTGCCCTCCGATGTATCTGATGTTGTGGTCACATGCTCGCACAACATCAGACCTCTTGGTCGCTGCGTTATCACCCAGTGTAGTGCAGTGGTGTGTAGCGCCCTATGGTGCAGTTTAATGACATGGACCATGGATGACTACCCGATGCAGCTTAAATGGACTGTGGTGGCTGTAGAGGTATTGCGTGACATATTACGACATAGCCCATTGCAAGATCACAGTCCATTTTCAAGATCACATGATACTGAGAACAATCAGCAGAAAGTTGGTGTGTCGCGTAGGAAGGCTCAACCATCCAGCAGCTCTGGCAGATCGTCTGAATGCAGGAGCAGCAGAACATGCAAAGGGCAGTGCTGTGGTAGGAGCAGCTGCAAGTTGCTCCTTCCAGGCCGCAGGCTGTTTTGCTTATGTTCTTCCAGTGTACATATCTCCAAAGAGGCGCGGCTCAAGCCCGGCGTGGCCGATCCAAGTTTCACCATCCTCCCAGAAAAGAGCAGCGGCTTGTTCATCGTTGAGCCTGTTGCAGCATGCGGAGCTGTCAGCGACGACAGTCGGCAGTGTGCAGGTGGCTGGTTGCCAGCTTCATTTGCACTGGCGCTGGCACTGGCACCGTGGCCAACCAAGCCGCTGCTCGCCTGGAAATTCAGAGACAGCTCACAGCCTGTTACCATCGTCTTGCCCTGGCTCGTGTCAATCCAGGCGGCCTGCATCGTTACAAGGACCACTCCCAAGTCGAAAGCCGCAAGGCGGCTTCTGCAAAGCAGCCTCGTAAGCCCCACATGCAATCCTGCTGCGCAAGTGGTCCGACTCATAATCGCGCATTAGGCGAAGGCGAATGATCTTCTGTTGCTTGAAACTTCTGCGAGGTGCTGAGCAGGCAGGTCCTCTTCAGCATGTACAGCCCGGACGGCCTTCGGTGAGCAAAAGGATGTTGCTGTGGGATTGGGACCAGGATCATTGAAGCATCCTGTTGACTGGTTGTGGGTCTCGGGTCGTAATTTTAAAGCAGAGCCACTACGTAGTAGCTTCCAGACAGTCTAGCAGCTAGCACATCAGGGCAGCGAGAAGCCAAGTTGTCGAGGACGTTGTGACGGATCGCGAATATGTCTCCGTCCTTCTTGAGTGCTTTGCAATACCTATCGAATAGCTTCTTGGCCCAATAGGCGTTGTACAACAGCGTTTCTGAGCAGCCAAAAAGCTCACAGCCGCACCCAATGTGTCAACTCGCCTAATGGCCTAATCAGCAAGCTCGAGCCGTATCTTGTTCACCTGAGCGGAAGTCAGGCTTGAGCCAGTGTTCCCAGAGTTTTGGGTAGTAGTGATTCGGTCATGACGGCACCGACAGGGCTGGCCGCCCTGGCAAGCTACGAGGACAGCGGAAGCGGCAGCGATGTGGACACCGACGTCTCCGATGGCCAACTGCAGGCCTCCAGCCCTCCAACGTCCTCCAAGGTCTCATGTGCCTTCGAGGCTTTCCGACGCTTCGATGCTGGTGCTGAGCTCCATGGAAGTCAGGTTCTGGGGCTGGCAGATGAGGCCTCGGATGTGGATATTTTATCATCCAAGCCTGTCCATCAACTTCTTAAGGCTCTGCGCAACCAGAAGTTGCAGGATTTCGAGCTATCAGAGTCGGTTATGGCTGCAAGGATACCTCGAGTGATTGTGAGGCACAGACAAACAGGCCTCCTTCTTGACGTGGTGGAGTCCTGCCGCGACCCTTATGCGCATGCCAAAGATGCGCTGGTGCGCAGTTGGTTGGACTTGGGCGAAGATGTTCGTGAGCTGGCTCTTGACATAAAGGCTTTTGCCAAGGCATACCAGAGTCAACTACCCCGGGAACAAGGCTGCTGGGTTCTTGTTAAGAGAGTTACTGTTTTGTACATATCATGATAAGGAAGCCGTGCTACCTATGTCATTGTCTGTCAAGCCTTATTATGGTAACTTTAACAAGAACCCAGGCTACCCCAACACGTTCCTCCTGCTGCTGTCGGGGTTCTGGTGGCTAGCCACACATCAAGGGCTTAGACCTGGCGAGAGCCGCGCAGATTCGATCGAAGGTCGTTGCAAGGAGTCGAGATCGGAGTTATTCCGAGGCCATGGAGCTTTCGGGGAGTTAAGTTAAGACTTATGATTTTTTAAAATGTTTCTCACAGCAAGAAGGGGCTTACTGCAATACCGATACCACTCATTAGGGTTCTTCACCTCCAAGGTCCGTTGCGGAGTGCCTAAACCCTAAACCCTAAACCTGCTTGTGCGAGTGTGAGAGTCGAAACCCTAAACCCTAAACCCTTTCTGCTAGTGGGCATAGATCCTCAGCCATGCGAGAGGGAAAAAAAACCCTTTCTGCGCCTCTGAAGGTTGGCTGGACTTCGTTGCAGCCGATCATCCCAGAGTCATGAACTTGGCTCAGAACGGTACTGGTGGGCCAATTCGCGAGTCCAGTGAAGGCGGATCTTCTGGGCTTTCAAGAGATGTGGGGGCTTCAGGATGGGCTATTTCTTTTTTTGGGGCCCATTTCTGGGTCGCTGCTTTTTCCTTAAACTCCCTTAAAACAGCTTTGAGAGCTTCAGGGCGATACTGGCAACTTGTGGAGCCCGTGTCGGGGAGGACATCAGCTCTTTGCCCCAGGCATTTCATGACACACACATCTTTCAAGACTGGTAAGTCGTACGGATGACTTCAGCTGCGTCAGGACGGCGTGTTCTCTCAACCGCAAGCAAGCTGAGCAGCTAGCATCTTGTGCCAAAGAGCACCGCTTAAACCAATTGGGGTCACACCCGGCTGATGCAAAGGATGTGCCAAGCATACACGCTCCGCCCTTGTGCACCTGGTGTTCCGCGGGCATCTGCTGTCAGTGAGTTCGCATGGATTTGGCAATAAGGGCTCAAGCAGGGCCCCTTTCTTAGCTGTCCAACTCCCTAAGAGCCGAGGGGGCCTCGGCTCCGGCTTGACTTGTTGGCGTTTCTGTCGGGTATCATGTGGGAATCATTGTTTCTTGGTGCGAAAGTCCAGGCGGATCAAGCGCGGAAAGCTGCGGATATGCGGGGAACTTAGCTTCGTCCCAAGCTCCGAGCGCGCCAGAGCCGCCCAAGAAGGTCGGACGGAAATGAGATCTCCCGGCGAGAGCTGGAGCGGCAGATCCAAGAGCTCCGCCGAGACAAGGACGGCAGAAAACCACGAGAGCCCAATGAAGTACAGCACAGCTTTCTTAGCCTTCTGACTGAGCCACTGTCGGATGATGTCGTCAGGTGAAACTGGATGACAGCATTCGAAAAATGGAATCCACCCAAAAGCGCATTTTTGGTCCGGTGCCAAGCTTGTCGCTCTTTGTTGCTGCTTGCTTCCCGGCGTTCGCACAACCTGCCCCTGGCACGATCAGGTGAAGAGGGGGAGAGAACGAGATTAACGGCACTTCACGCCCAAGATGAAAAGAAAGAAGATGGCGACCAGGTGCACCTGGACAGAGTGTGGGCCTGTCTCCTCGAAACACTCTTGTGTTCGGTTTCGGATCCATGTTGGCTTTGCCAAGCTCATCCAGGAAGCCGGAGAAGACAAGAAAGACGAGGACGACGACAAGAAGGAAGATAAGAAGGAGGAGGAAAGCGAAGAGACCAAGAAACGTAAGCGTGAGGACGATATCGCGGCTCGGAGTGATATTTTAGTATATTTTTACCATGTTTGAGGTTGCCTCCTTCATGCTTTGCCATCGATCTCGTGTCACACCAGTCAGCTCGCCAGGAACGCCGAAAAAAGGAGGGACGGCCGACCAAAGCTGACCCAAGAAGCCGCAACCTCTTTGGGAAGCTGTTGGGCCATCTTCACTCTGCGAAAGACAGGTTTCGGGTGGCCGTGTGTGCTTGCTTTCCCTATTCGCCCAAAGCTTTCATGTCCTGAAGAAGTGTTGTGAATATGCCTGCCAAGTTTGCCTTCCAGACTATGTATCCTCACGACAGATAGGGATCGCTGTCGGACCAGAACCAGTCGTCGAAGGGACAGACGGCAAGAAACACTCCAGTGTGCGCGCGCGCGTGTGTGTGTGTGTGCGCGCGTGCGCGCACGCGCGTGTGGAGTGCTGCAGTGCTGCCTGTTTAAAGCTCCTCCGCAGAAGTAACCACCCGAAGCGAACAAAAACCTATTGAGTTCGGCTGATTGGCGTGGCGGCTCAGTTCTGCGTCGGGCATGGGCACGAGCCCAGATGCGAAACGTGACGGCGTTCGCCAATTTGCCAGCCTGTGCCTTCGTGACAGATCGAGTGCAGTTACCTTTCTCGCTGTTCGGATACTGGTGTGTTTGGATGGCATGTTTTGCCGCATGGGCTGCTGGTGAGGGTGCTCAGTGTGTGCAGTCTCTCTGCAGGTTGCAGAAGGAGAAGACGAGCAAGATGGGCGAACTTCAGCAGAAGGCCCTGAGCAGAGTGGAGGACAAGGTCAACCTCAACAAGATGAATATCAAGGAGTTCAGAAAAGGACAGTTGCGAGGATGCACTGAAGTTTTGAAGGTTTGATTCTGGTGTCGTCACGTGCTGTTCTGGCAGTTTGTTGCCTCTTTTCGAGTGAGGTTCGAGAAGCAGCTGCAAGAGGAGCAGGCGAAGGCCGACTGGCGACTGAGACCTTGAGCCATGCGTGCAAGATGGGCCAACTGAGGCAGCAGAGATCGAGAAGCAGATTGAGGAGAAGGCAGTCATCTGCGGATTTGCTCCGTCCTGGTTGTTTGGGGTTGCCACCGACTACTTCAGCAGGGCTGCCAGCTGCTAGCTGCTATCATTGAGAACTGCCACGGTAGTTCTCCACAGTTCTCTGTGCGACCCGGTTGGTGGTTTTGGCTAGCCGAGAATCCCATCGAAGATGTCTTCATCTGGGCGACAGACGATGCACGTCGAACCTGTGCAATTGCAGGAAGTTCTTCTGCTGCAGCGCCGCCTTGAGTGACTTGCATGGAGTTACGCAATGTTACAGAGCCGCGATCCTTTTCGACGGTGCACTTGCGTTTCTTAGGAACCACTACTCACTGATGATGAACTTCATCAGGACAGAGGCTCGACGACTGCATGGAGCAATGACATGGAGTCTTGCTGTGTGTCAAACATGAGCAGGTGCAGCCTACCATCTTCTTCCTTCCGAACAAGCACACCCGTGACACTGAGAAGCAGAGCGCGGCTTACACGAAGCCCTGAGCTGTCTTGTGCAGCTAACACATCTGAGAGCTGACAGAAGCCATGATCCACGCACGAGGCTCGAAGAGTCACGCGATGCACTGAAGAACAAGATCGCCACGCTGAGGATGCAATTCCGCCAGGAGGCACTGGATTCAAGACTGAACACTCGCACTGCAATGTATAATGGTGTTTTGGCAGTGTATTATGATATTATAGTATCTTGTAGTAAGTTATAACCGATTGTAGCATCTTGTAGTACATTATAGTATACTAGACTGTATAATACTGCATATTATAGTAATACCCCCCCCCCCCGCCCCCCAGGCTGCCAAGGCTGCTGCAGCAGCGGAGGCCGAAGCCAAGGCAATATCCTCCGAAGGGGTTTAGGATTTTGGGTTTCGGGTTAGGGTTTAGGGTTCAGGGTTCAGGGTTTAGGATTTAGGGTTTCGGGGTGCTGCGAGGGACTTGGCCGGGCGAGCTCAGTGCAAGCCTGTGCAAAACGGGTTTAGGGGTAAAGGGTTTAGGGTTTTGGGGTAACCCATGAAGAGCGGTGTGTTGGTTTGGCCTCCCATCGCTCCCGGCTGCAGGAGCAGGGCGATTCCAAAGGCCGGGATGTTCCGTCTGTGATTCGGGCCGCTCTGATCTTGTAGTAGCCTCGTTTGCTCCGCCTTGGCTGAAGGAGCTGGTTCCAGTGCAGCAGATATGGAAGCAGAGGCGAGGGCACCCCCCAACCACCAAAAACACCCTCAACCCCATGATCAAAAAACCCAATCCCTAAACCCTAAACCGTTGTCCGAGTGTGAGCGCCGAAACCCTAAAACCTAAACCCCAAGCACCATGAACCTCGCCTGGCATGTCCGAGTTGCGAGAGCGTAAACCCCAAGTCCTAGCTAAGTGGGAGGGGAAAAAGACCCCCAAACCCGTAAACTCCCAAACCCCTAAACCCCTAAACCTTAAACCCTAAACCCTGGACCCCCCAACCCCTAAACCCCTAAACCCTAAACCCCTAAACCCTAAACCCCTAAACCCTAAACCCCTAAACCCTAAACCCCTAAACCCCTAAGCCCTCAACCATGAAACCGTAGACTTTACAACACGTCCACCAGTGAGCCAAGGAGACGCAGCCCGAGGCGGCCCAAGGCCTGGCGCTGAAGTCTTGCGAAGAGGGGCTTAGAGTATATTCTAGGATTTTATATAACTACAACATAGTAGATAGTATAGTATAGTATAGTATAGTATAGTATAGTATAGTACAGTACAGTGTAGTGTAGTGTGGTGTAGTGTGGTGTGGTGTCGTAGAGTATAGTATAGTATAGTATAGTGTACTGTAGTGTAGTGTAGTATAGTATAGCATAGTATAGTATAGTATGGTATAGTATAGTATAGTATAGTATAGTATAGTATAGTATAGTATACATACATACATACTGTGAGTGCACATACATGTCAGTGCGGCATGTGCACCTGTCTCTGCAGAGCTGCTGCTTGTAGTAACTTGCATG